GGGGATATTGCTGCTACAAACAGGATTTCCATTTGGTTTGTGTCGGGGCACAAGGCTTAGTAAATAAATACATAGGATGCCTAGTTAAATTTGATTTTCTGACAAATAATAAACATTTTTCTTTAATATAAGTTTATAATACTGGGACATATTTATATGAAAAATTGTCCATTGTTTATCTGAAATTCAGATTTAACTGGGCACTCTGTGGTTTATCTGGCAGCCCTAAGTTAGCAAGGAAAAGGGGAAGTGGATGTTGAGGGCAGGTTTCATAAGATCTGCCATGAGGGGGACAGCATTTTATTCCAAAAGTTGATTGTACGTTGGAAGAATTTCAGGCTTCAACCACAGGCTGGCTGGTGGGGAGCTTCCATGCTAAAATCTTGGGGAAATTTTGACCTTCCATTCATATAGTTGTAGGATATCCTATGCAATCTCCAGGTCTTCTGTGGCGTTGACAGGAGATGTCCACTCTGACAATTCCCAACAAAATGGCTTCTCCTTTCCAACAAATGCCTCCTGTCCTGCCCATTTCCATTCAGAAATTTTTCAACTGTGGAACGCACAACAGAAAAGAGACAGAAGCAACCAAAATACAGCTTTACTCAAATTAGTCTGTGCCCTTCTTTTTGACTGGTTCAACTACTGACAATGATGGGGTTAGTAATTTACAACCTCAGCACTTAATTAATCTGAAAAAGTTCATTAAAAAGATGAAATTAAATTCAAAACATTAGGTTTTAGATAAGAACTCTGATATCTATCAACTCCTTTCCCCTCTTCTTTTTTTTCCCAATGTAACTTAAGTGTTCTGTAACCAGCAGGATATTGGTTTCTGTGGCCTGACAGTACCCTTATCTGTATTTTTTGACATTTATTTTGAGCCAGAGCTTGTGAACAGAAGTATGTCTAGAATCACATGATACTGAGGTTGATTCTAACCACCTGTGGATATTTTTCACAGATCTTATTAGTATTATTGAAACTAAAACCATACTATTAATTTAAAAAAAATCATGAGCACTTTATGTCTTTGGATTTCTCAGATGTAAAACCCTAATTCAAAAATTATTATATTATGGTTCCAATAAATTGCCTGAATTACCCATTAGTATTCTCCAAACTCCTTTGGGTCCCAG